TCTCTCTCTCTCTCTCTCTCTCTCTCTCTTTCCTTTTCCTTTTTCTCTCTTCACAGATAAATGTGGCACACCGTGTAAGCACCTCTTGCTTGATCCGTCCGATCATCCATTCTTGTTTACCCTTTTATCGGTAACTACATCGTTAATATGTCATATTGTTCTCGCGTACTCGCTACTCTTGCTCGCGTTATCTATCATCGATTCGCGGCTTTAGTTTCCAGAGTTACGGCGCCAGCGTGATAAAACTGCGGTGTTGTTGTTGTTATCTCGACGACGTTCGATATAATGACAATTGCGATGGATTTTTCCTTTTCGTGACGGATCGCGCCGGATTTAAATGTTGGACATTCTGCAGAAGAACGAGTAAAAGAAAAGAGGTTGAAACAGTTTGATTAAAACACGGTTTCTAGTAGTATTAAATTACATATTTGACAAATGCTCAAACATTTCTCGGTAGACTGCGAAAGCGGAAAATGTTGTTGACGATGGCGAGACGCTATTCATTACTATTAAATTAATTTTTTTTCTTTTTTTATTTTCTTAATATTAATTTTATTTCCTTAAGCGTGATCTTTCATACATTTAGTGAGAAATCAGAGCCTGTCGAAGAAACGTGTTTCCCCCTTCCACTCGTACGTTTTCACAAATTGCGCGTGCAACGTGCTAAAGTGGATTTGACGCGGTTGCTTTTCCGTTTCGAATTTACAGTAAATCGCGGCGCGATAATTTTGTAAACGGCGAGCGGGCGCTCGATGTTGTCGATGTCGTCGAGCTGTATCGGCCGTGTAACGCGTTCGTTTCGACAGCAAACAAAACGAGGCACAAACGTGGCTGTTCCGTTGTCGGTTGCTAGCGCGAAAACAGGCAGGACAGCTTACCTACCAGAGCAACGTTTCCCTGTCACGGGGTATAAACGGGCATTTGTACACGAATATATTTTAAACATATACGTATATGCCGCGCTGCAGCATACGATAAACGTCCCTAAAATAAAATAGCTATCCGGCCGGCAGATAAACCGGTAATATGTTTCAGGAGTAAATGGCCGGATCCTGATAAACACAAGTTATGCGCTTACGCGCAATGTCTTTTCGGTCGTCCAATAAATTAAAGCCCTTTCCTCTGCCTCCCCCCCCCTCCTTCTCCTCCTCCTCCTCTCCGTCCCCTTCTTCGCTTCTCTTCCTTTCGCTCCGAAACGAACGAAAACCCAAAGGCCGTGCGAAGAGGGTGTTAGTATGATTATAATTTATTCTTGATTAGCGTTAATCCTGCCGGACTTATGTCTCCGTTTTTCTCTCTTTCGACGTTAACTTCCCCCCACGCGTAGCTTTTATTAGGCCATCGGTCCGGCCGTAACTTACACTTATGATTATTAACGCCGACAGATTTATCGGAGATTGGCACGAAAATCTGAGACGTAAAACGGAATGGTACATATAAATACAATTCAGGCCAGCGTGAAAGTATGTAGGTACGTATACACGTATACGTATCTCGAGAGCTGCATCGCCATCTTTCACTGAGTAGATGTTGCTAGAATGCTCTCGGCAACTGCATAATAATAATAATACGCATGCATAATCAATCAAGTTCTTATCCGCTTTGTTTTCGTTCGTGCGTTTTTTTCTTTCTTTCAAGTTGCTTTTAAATTACATTACGTGGAGCATAGATGACAATCTCTCCTTCGAGAGAAATATGTAGTTCAATTTGTACATTTTGTGCAGTGGATTGCCATACGTTTGCGTTGTGCACGGTAACCGTAACCTCATTTCGTTATTTATTCAGCATGATTCCGTAACTATTTCGCGTGATTACGGTATTAATTGTAAGAAATGACAGATCCCTATCGACGTTTTGCATTCGGTCGGACGATATATTAACAGCCAAGAAGCCAGCATTATTAACCGCGGTGGCGAGGAAA